CCCTGCGGATAGCAGGCGTTCCAGAATCATGGATCCCCGACATTAACCGAAAGGCTCTGAACGTGGTCGACCTTTGCCTTAGCTGCGACGGCCACTGCCTTCAACTCGAATCTTCTCCCGTCCTTCAAAAATTCGAGTCACTTCATCACATCCACCTCATTAACATATTTCCACTAAAAACGTCTCCCCTCCCCTCCAACATCACCACAATCCGTCTCAGAGAAGTTAATTTGGAGGATTGCATCAGAGCTTTGTTACAATGCACTTCCCTCGTCGAGTTTTACGTTCGTCATCCTCGCAATCCCTCAACACCTAATCCTATACCTGCTGTACTCCGGGAACCACTCATTCGATCCACGATGAAGCGTTTCGGTTGGGATAATTCTGGGTCTCCGAACAGCTGGAATAGCGCCCTCTTGCAGATGGTCCGCTTTCCTAATCTCGAGTATCTCGAGTGGACCGGCGGACCTAGGAAGGGTACTCTCGAACCAGATGTAGACTTCTTCTCCAACTTGCCGCCATCTCTCACTTCCCTCACCCTCTTCGACAACTCCACTGCTTCACTCAGCTATGAGAAGCGTACCCAGCTTCGCATGTTGTTCATACACCTATCCCAGATCAAGGAGCTAACGCTATGGAAATGTTATAACGAGTATGCCCAGAATATCTTCATATTATTATCTCGTGGATCTGATGACGGCTATCCTTCATCCCCGAATGATTTCGTGTTCCCAAAACTGACACAAATATTCTACCACCTTCCTGGACGCATTCCCCGCCGGTATGTTGGCAGTGATGAAGAGGATGATCGATGGAATGGGTTAGACGGTTGCTACGACTCAGAGGAGGGTACCGTCGACCAGGATGACTTAGATGTTGGAAGAGTTATCCTCTATCCGAGACATTTCATGGAAACAGTGTACTGGAGGAGTAGAATCATGGCGGTTCCATATTTCCGACTTGAGTTGACCAAGTGTCGCTTAGAGAGGGTAAAGGCGGTATGGAAAAGGTTCAGGGAAATAGTAAATAGAGGACTTAGGCTGGAAGTTGTCGAAGATACCAAATTGGTTGATTGGACGGAACCAATATAATAATGATTCTACATCGAGGTCGTTACGTCTTCTTCACTCGATAAATGCCTTCATTGGAAAATGACTTCATAAGAAGCCTGTGGCATTGCATTTATGTGCTACTCGGACACTGTTGCAGTTTTGATTATTTTTTTTGCAGATTTTTGGTCCTTTTCGGTGTATGTCTTACACCTGGGATATCATAAAAGTAGGTTGGTTCCAATTATTTCCCACTGCGCGAATGCCACCATAAGGGCAGGAGGTTCTTGCGCTGAGGCGAGATAGGGAGCTAACTTGCACCTTGTTTCGCCACTAGCTCGATGGCTTTGACGAGACCCCTAAGCTGAGATTCGAGGCCATCTAGGTACCTTCCTCCAACCCTCCATTTTCTCCCATCAGGCTACAACCTCCCTATACTACGCTCCCAACCAACGCTCACGTGGTACGCTCCACCTCAGCTGTCAGCATCTATTGGGACTCTCGCGACACCATATACTACACAAGTAGTATGCGGGTTCACTTTGACCGCATTTGCCGTGTGTCAAATGACATGCAGCGGGACTCTACGATGAGTTGAGTCGAGCAAATAATGATCCGCGGAGGTGTCATTATATGGGCATCGAGACGTTCAGGCCAGACCATCTAGACCGGACATTTCACACAGGGTAAGGTCCTCTGGCAGAGGAATGGATCAAATTAACACGACAGAACCCTCCTCTTGCTTCGCAGAGTCGGGGAATGGAAGTATGCTTAGATGTAATAAAAGTCAATTGCCGCCCCCAACATGGAGGACTGCTTGTGATTTACTACTCTCCTCCCATGTGTCTTCAGACAAATTGTAACAAAACGGCGTCGCAAAGCCCAGACGACGACTATGATGTTTTACTTGAGCGTGTAGATCACTGGAACGATATCGCCCAACAGGCAATTGATGAGCGTGCACGCTGGCTACGGAAGGTCAATACTCTGAGATCAGCCACGAGTTCACTTCCAAACGAGATTCTTGCAACCATCTTCAAGTTCGCGTGCCCTCCAATTGGCTTTCGCAAACGAGTTTTTCGTCGAGGTCCAGACGACAGCCATGATGACGACGGCTACCGCGACGATGATTGGCCCATACCATCGAGGGAGAAGGAGGACTTGAGTTACCAATGTTCTCCCGTGGTGCTCGGTGCGGTTTCGAATCGGTGGAGGGAGATAGCGTGGTCTGCCCCTGGTTTGTGGAACACACTAGCCATCGAACTGGCATACAGAACCTCCAATTTTACCTGACCAATGCCAAAAGTTTTGGTTTTGTTCTTGACATCGACCTGCGAAGATACAACAGAGAGGCAGAGTTCTTCAACGAAGAATCTCCTCCTCCGTCGGAGGATATCATCGCAGATCCTGAGGAGTTGGGTCTGGAATCCTTCAAGGCTGTTGTATTCGGGGACATGGCCAAGAATATACAAACCCTGCGGATAGCAGGCGTTCCAGAATCATGGATCCCCGACATTAACCGAAAG